CAAGCGTTATATAATTATTGTATAATTAATATACCTATAATAATGGCTTCTATACCAAGAAATACTTTTCCCTTTTCCGATTTAGATGATGAAAGTATTTTATTGACTATTTATGAATTTAAAAATGGTCCGATTGTTTATGATCAAGATAGGTTAAGTACTTTATTATTCAATCCTTTATTACTAAATACTAAACACCATCTTGCGTTAAATAATAATCTGGACCCAGACGAAAACTTATTTGACGAATTCAACCATACTGCTTGTGAATACTATATCGAGGATCAGTTTAATGAAATGATAAGGAATGAGTGCAATTCCGCTAATCTTGGATTTTCGACTTTACATTTAAATATCCGTAGTATTTCAAAAAATATATCACGTCTCACTGACTGGTTATGCGGCTTAGCTATTACATTTTCTGCTATTGGTATTACTGAAACGTGGTTGCAAAATGCTGACCACAATGTTGATATTAATGGTTATAACTTTATTCATAATCATAGGAAAAATAAAACTGGCGGCGGTGTTGGACTGTATTTAAAAAATGACTTGCAGTTCAAAAACCGCAAAGATTTGCATTTTTCAGATTCAAATTCAACAGAATCTTTGTTTATTGAGGTGATTAAACCTCAAGGGAAGAATATCATTGTGGGAGTTGCTTACAGGCCGCCGGACCAAAACTTTAATACTTTTGTTGACGATTTTAGTATCATAGCTGAAAAAATATCGAGAGAAAACAAGCTTTGTTATATAATGGGAGACTTTAATGTCAACTTTATGAATTATCAATGTCACAACAAAACCGGAGAGTTTGTGGATAATATTTTCTCTAACATGCTATACCCTCGTATTACTCTCCCAACTAGAATTACAGCACACGCCGCCACATTAATTGATAACATTCTTTCTAATAACTTTGATTGTCGTGTCCTAAATGGACTTTTTTTCTCGGATATATCTGACCATCTTCCTGTTTTTTCCATAACATTTGAAAATTACAACAATAAAACAAAGAATGAGACCATAACTTTTCGAGATAGAAGTTCTAAAAATATTGAAAAGTTTAAAGAAAGTTTAGCAAACTTAAGTTGGTCCACGATAGAAGAATCTAGTGATCCAGCATATGCATACACAACATTTCTTGAAACTTACACAAGCACTTATAATAAATGTTTCCCTAAAAAAACGTCGAAAAAAAAGTATAAAGTGTATAAGCCTTGGATTTCTAAAGGACTTGTGAAGTCCATAAAAAGGAAAAACAAACTTTACAAACAATTTTTGCAAAGTCGAAATCCTGTCATCGAAAGAAAATACAAGACCTATAAAAATAAATTAACACACTCTATTCGAATTGCCAAACGTATTTATTTTGATAAGAGACTGACAGACAATAAATCAAATATGAAAGAGACATGGAAAATATTAAACAGTATTATAAACAAGAAAACTGCTAAAGCCAGGCTGAACACTACCTTCAACCTGGATGGTAGAGAAACATCCGATCCATTAGAGATTGCTGATAAATTTGGGGATTACTTCAGCAATCTAGGTCACTCACTAGCCAGGAAAATTCCAGCATCTTCAGCTTCTGCTAGGTCATTTCTTTCTGGAGAATTTTTAAATAGTATTTTTCTTGAACCAGTTTTAGAAAATGAAATAAAACATATCACTAAAGCTTTTCCATCTGGAAAGGCCATTGGTTATGACAACATTTCAATGTCTGCTATCAAATTATCTATTGACTTAATTTTAAGACCATTAACACACATTGTAAATTTGTCTTTAGCTAATGGTTTCGTTCCGGATGAAATGAAAATAGCGAGAGTTATTCCTTTATACAAGGCAGAGAATAAACTATTTGTCAATAATTATAGACCTATTTTCCATATTACCTGCTTTCTCAAAAATTTTGGAAAAAGTATTTTATAAACGACTATCTAACTATTTGAATACACGCAATATTTTATGTGTAAATCAATACGGTTTTAGAAAGGGTCACTCAACTTCATTAGCCCTTGTTTGATTTATATGATAGAATCTCAGAAGCAATCGACAAAAAGGAATATGCGGTTGGAATTTTCCTGGACCTATCCAAAGCTTTTGACACGGTAGACCATGATATTCTTTTTGAGAAATTGGAATATTATGGTGTACGTGGCATAGCATTGAGTTGGATAAAAAGTTACTTTTCTGACCGAAAGCAATTTGTTCAGTTTAATAACACATGCTCTGCCTTTAAATCTATAACCTGTGGAGTTCCACAGGGATCCATTTTAGGGCCACTGATGTTTTTGATATATATCAACAACATATGTAATGTTTCTGATGTTGCAAAACTAATTCTTTTTGCTGACGATACAAATTTGTTCTTTTCGCATATAAATCCAGTGCACTTGGTTAATGTGACAAACGGAGAGCTACAAAAATTTTCGATTTGGCTCATAGCGAACAAATTGTCTTTAAATCTTGATAAACAAAATTTATGATATTCAAACCTCAACAAATTAACTTTAAAATAGTACTTAATAACAGAGAACTCATTCAAACAAATGAAATTGTTTTCTTAGGTGTCATTCTAGATGAGCAACTCATTTGGAATCTCACATTAATCATGTGTCAAATAAGATTTCCAAATCGATAGGAATAATACGCAAATCTAGCTTTTTTTTGTTAAAACAATCACTGTTAACTCTTTACTACTAGATGGTGTATCCCTATTTGCAATATTGCAATATAGTGTGGGCATCTACGTATGCATCCAATCTAACTCGTTTGGTAATTCTTCAAAAACGTATTGTTAGAATTGTAAACAATAGTAGTTTCGATTCTCATACCAATTTGATCTTTAAAAATTTAAGATTACTAAAGTTCCACGACCTCCGTAAACTACAAACTGGCCAATTTATGTTCTTGTACATGAACAATCTTTTACCAGACCATTTTGAAAACCTATTTCTTTTAAAACGGCAAGTACATAATTATAATACTAGGAGAGCTAATGAATTTTACATTGCAACTCCAAGAACAAATCTACGGCAATTTTCAATTAAATATCAAGGTCCACTTCTTTATAACAATCTAAATAATAATATAATAAATAGTGTGTCATATTCGTCATTTACTAAAAAAATGAAAAAGCATCTCTGCTCATCTTATACCACAGTTAATTAATAAAACCAAATTTTATTCATATAATTATCATTGAGATAAATCTAACATAAGAGGAGGTTTGTTACCCATAATAAGCCAAGTGGTTTCTTTTCAAACCTCCTTGTCACATAAATGTAAACCGTTATTATTACCCTCTTGTAAATTAATAGTTTTTGACCTTTGTAAATAATTATCTGTGACTGTGTGATTTGTGTGACAATCTAATAAATTCAATTCAATTCAAGGGGATGCTATAAAAGGATGGATGAAAAGGGGGAATTGACCTACTCATGAGCAAAGACATAGTGGCTGGGACAAAAGAACATTTAAGAGGAACACATGTGTACAAAATTATGATTGACCAAAAGAAAGGAACCTTGCAGTGCAAAAACTCTCGATAAAATAACATCTTATGCAGATTCCACCTTCAAGAATGAATGACCATACAATTGATGGAAGCAAGCTGACCTGCACTGGTGCAATTTTGCATTTGAAAAAGAACAAGATTGAAAAATTGTGGCCTTCATACATATCAACTCATTGCCTTTCTACTGGAGTGACCTTGGAATTTGACCAAAGTAGTGATGAGAATGCCGAGCCAATGTTTAAAAAAAGGGTGACCAAACACAAAACAGCTGAAGGTATGCAATGTGAATACAGAACCAAATGCAAGCAAAGTCAACAACAATAAATGTCCTAATTGTAATAAGTTATTCCTTTGTAAGAAACCCTTGCAGAAGCATCTAAACAGTAGAAAGTGCATAGAAAGAAAGAACTTGTCAAAGATGTTGGAAGAGACATCAATTCCAGTAGTGCAAGCATTAGGACTTGCTAATGAGGTTTAATAAATCTACATTACTGCAGTCTACTTAAAGGAACTGCAATGAAGACGAAGTTGAGGAAAAACATTCGTTTTACAGCTGAACAAAAAAAATTAATGGAAAGATGCTTTAATGTAGGGGAGTAGGACAAAACGAATAGACACATGGCCAAGACTTGCAAAAAATTCATGCAGGAAAAGCTGGGAAAGGAAATGACATTAACCCAGTGCCAAATCAAGTTATTGGAACATGTACAAAACAAGGAAGAGTAACCAATAATTAACAGTGTATATTTACTAATAATGTGAAAACAATTAAACATATATTTAATTAAATTACTATTGTCAGTGTAAAATCATTTGAATATCACAAAATATAATGTACAGTTTCTCTGTTTGAAAAAATATGCGAACCAAAAATGAAGCATAATTAACAACAGAGGGTCACAACAGGCTATGTTACCATGCAACTTCATGTAAATCAAGTTTTAGGTAACATGAGCTTTATGGGTTTTGTGGAAAACGCCACATATATATTTATTGCAAAGCATTTGTTAAGTTATAATACAGTTTAATAAATAGGCTGTTGCTGTATATCGATATACCGATAATTATCGTTAAATACCGATTACTCGATATTGAAATTTTCGATATATCGGAATATCGTTATTTTTCGGTATTATCGATATCGCGTTTACGTTTGTATATTTAAATGTCATATCAAGCTTTTTCAAGCGCTGATTGGAGTTCTTTCAGAAGGACAAAGATGAGAGCGAGATCTATAGCATGAGCGAGATCTATAGCATGTTTGTTGATATACGTTGGCGCTGCAAGGTGTAATATGTCATTTCACGCTTGCCAAAAAATGAACTTTTAGAATGTAAACAACCACCGGTGGATTACAAATGTTTTAGAAAAACAAAAATTAACCTCATTGGACATGTTTATCTGGTGTGATAGGACCATAGATATCTTATATACACGATCAGATAATCCAACCGAAACACCTCGTGAGAAATAATTTACAATGATAAAATCAAATGTTGCTACTATCGAATCCGATCTTGTGTTATTTAAACAAGAAATCTCAAAGAAACTAGAACTAGCACTCGAATCCTTGAAAGAGAAAGATGAACTTAAAACTCTCGGCAAAAAATTTAAGAAAACAGAATCAAATGAATTTAAATTAAGAGAAACAATGTGTGACATGAGAATCAAACTTCTTGAACAAGAGGAAGTCGCAACAAAGAAACAACACCAAGATCATTTGAAGACACAAATGAAAGTAAACAGTATATCAGAAGAATTGTCAACCAATATGTCAACAATCCCTCCATCTAATACCACCCAGCATGCAATAACAGATCTAAAACTACCCAGAAATGATGATGAAGATAATTTCCCAACCCAACATCTTTCCCAACTTACAATGACCCCTACAGAACCCACAGATCAATCGTTATCCACATCATATCTGGTAACAACCTCTAACCACAATATTCCATATTGACCGATGAAACAGCCAGCAACACACAAAATTCCACAGAAATAGATCACACAGCAAAAAATTCTGCAAGCAACCTACCAGATTCATCAGAACCTGATCCATCCGGGACAAATCGAGAATGTTCGTTGCCAACAATAGATTGTGAAAGTGAGACCATCATATTATGTGACTCGAACAGTCGGTTTCTGAACACAAAACTATTATGCCCAAATTCAACGTGTACACCTACCTAAGATGCCCTACTTTGTTGACAGCTGAGGATATTATCAATAACACTAATTTTAAATCACCACAAACCGTTATCTTAGATTGTGGTACCAATGATATGGAACACTTAAAGCTGAACGAAGAAGTCTGCTCAAAAATCTCAAATATCAACTTAATAAAGAAGAAATACCCCACATGCAAAGTGATCATCTCTTCACTCCTCCCAAGATTAGATAAAAAACATCCATCAAATCAACCTAAAACTTAAAGAACAACTCTCGGATAAAAAGGACATCTACCTTGTTAGTCATAACAATCTTTTCCCATCAACTCAACATCTACATGACAGAAAACACCTAAACAAGACTGGAGTTCGATTATTTGCAAAGAACCTCAAGACAACTTATTTCCACTCCTGAAAACACCAAAATTCAAAATCTGATCACTTTCCAAACATGTAGAGTGTACCATTTCCAAGACATCAGAATCCGAATACTAGCCAGTTCTGGAATCAATTGAGTTCTCCATTCCCAAGACCCGAAAACATGGATCCCAATCATTCACAGTATCCTTTGAGATCAACATTCCCAAGAAGTCTAATTCCACAACAAGGTCCAAACCCTGTTGTTCAACCACCTCGACCCCATTATCCATATGCACCAGGGCTACCCCCTCCTAACCTTACACCCCGACCACCAAACACATATGTCAGCCCTAGACAAAACATACCGGCTCTTTTACCATGGTACACACCAAGAAGACAATTACCAAAGATTGAGAACAAGATGATTCCCCCTTTACCACCTCATCTTGTTGAACTTGTAAAACAACTTCATGGGTATGTTTGTTAGTTTCATCCACCTTAATATTAGTCTAAATATATTATATAGTTATGTAGTAAACATACATATAGTTAATATTGACAAATTCATCTTAATAATTAACTATATTTGCCAGAGATTAATATCGGAATGCTTCACACTAATTCACATTAATTTTTATCTCTATTATCCCAATTGATTAAAAGTAACTTTAACATGCAACAAAATATTTCAATAAGCATGTGGAATATTAATGGTTTCTCCAGCAGTGTCCTTGGAGGTAAATCAAAGAATGATGATTTCTTAAACCATATATAAGGAATAATGATTTTATATTTCTAACTGAAACTTGGTCTAACACTTCTATTTGTATTCCTGGCTTCAGAGCACTGTCAGCAAATATAGCAGAAAAATCAAGCCATTGTGGTCGCCTTTCAGGTGGCATCACATTGTTACTTAAAAATCAAATTCAAAGTTATGTCTCAATTGTCAAGAAATCAAGATTTCTAAGGAATTACTAAATTCAAATAATGATCTTTACTTATGTGTGGGGTCTATATACCACATGGAAATTCAGTGTATTTTGAAAATGAAATATTTGATATACTAGAAGATGAAACCAGCGCATTCTCTGCAAAAGGAGATGTAATGTTAATTGGAGATTTTAACGCCAGGACGGGTAAACTTAAAGATTATGTTTCAAATGAAGGTAGCCCAACTCATACATGATTTTACTTCCGAATCTAACAAACAAACTAGTAGAGAGAACTTTGACAACACCATTAATAATCATGGTAAATGTTTGATAGAATTGTGCAAAAACCATGATTTCCGAATTTTGAATCGTAGGACCAAAGGTGACTCTTTTGGAAAACCTACCTTCCATAAAAATAACGGTTTTAGTACAATAGATTATGCTGTAAGCAATACTAACTTACTCGAAAATATTAACTATTTTACTGTGAAACCGCCAAATTATCTCTCCGATCACAGCCAAATTATAACTTGGATTAATGTCAAAAAAACAATTGACAGAAACCCATCTGATACTCGATCCTCATAGTAATTACTCTCATAAACTCCCACCTCAATTCATATGGGAAAATACATTTGATAGAGCCTATATCAAAAGTCTTAAATCCCCACAAATTCAAACAAAACTTCAAAGTTTTCTAAACAGTGATTTTCCTTCAAATATTTAAAAGACACGCTGTTACGAAATTAGCAAATAGAAAACATAGGGACCCCCACTGAACACTGATATCAGAAGTAATTATCACAAAACATTAAAAGATTATAAAGAAACATTAAAAACAAAGAAAGATCAATTTTACCAAGTAAAAGTTAATGAGTTAGAACTAGCAGCTGAAAAAGACCCAAACTCTTTTTGGAAAGTACTAAAAACAGTTAATGATGATATAACTAATGACAAAACTACTACTCCCATTTCTGAGGCAAAATGGCTGTCCCATTTTACAAAATTACACTCAAAACATACTCTCAACAAAGAACAAGATATGATTGAAACCTTGCATATCAACGAACAAAATAAAACCAATTCAATAATCTAGACCAAGTAATTTCAGAACAAGAAATTGTTAATGCAATTAAAAAACTCAAAAGAAAAATCCGCATACTCGGATAGAATAAAAAATTAGATGATAAAATGTAGTATACATATTCTCATTCAAGGATACATGAAACTCTTTAATTTAATCCTGCAAACAGGAGTATTCCCAGATGTGTGGTGTGAAGGTCTAATTACTCCAATTTTTAAATCCGATGACAAGCTTGATTGTAATAACTACAGAGGAATTTGCATTTCTAGTTGTCTCGGCAAATTTTTCTGTGTAATACTGAATGAAAGGTTACACAATTTATACATGTGAAAAAAACATAATCCATCCATCTCAGATCGGATTTTTACCTGGATATCGAACAGCTGATCATGCATATACATTGAAATCATTGATTGATATTTATCAATATTAACATATTTATGTTAATAAAAAAACAAATGGAAAGATATATGCATGCTTTGTCGATTTCAAAAAGGGATTTGACTCTGTTTGGCACAATGGATTATTATTAAAATTACTTAGAAATGGGGTTGGTGGCAATGTCTATTATAGCCTAATTAAAAACCTTTATTCCAAATCAAGATGTGCAGTACGGCAATCAGAACATAGTACCTCTTTTTTCCCATATTGTAAGGGGGTACGTCAAGGATGTATTATAAGTCCTATATTATTTAACATATACCTAAACGACATACCATCACTGCTTGATAACAAAGATTCTGACCCACTCACACTCCCAAATGGTACAAAACTGAATTGTCTGTTATATGCCGACGATCTGATATTATCTAGATCGAAAATTGTGCATTCCTAATCTCCAAAGCTGTTTAAACCAGTTAAACAACTGGTGCAATAAGTGGATGATGGAGGTTAATTTAAAGAAAACTAAAGTTATGATTTTCCAGAAACCAATGTCAAAACAACAAACTCCACAATTTCTATTTGCAAACAAAATACTTCAAGCAACACAAGATTACAACTATTTAGGTCTTAAACTTACAACCAATGGGAAATTTACCATAGCAATGAAACAACTTGCTGATAAAGCAAAACATGCTATGTTCAGCACAAAGAAAAAAGTTGATTTTCACTCACTGAATCCAAAACTAGCAATCAAAATTTTTGACAGTATTATCTCGCCAATACTTCTATATACTAAATGAATTAGGATCTATTACTATTCATCAACAAAGTCAATTTATAAGCAATGCTAAAAATAAATATGTCACCTTTTGGAAACATAAGTTAGACAATTCCTCCAAACTCTCTTTCTACAGCACATTTAAGTCTGAATATAAGTTAGAGGACTACCTTACAACTATAAGAAACACATCTCAAAGAAAAACAGTAACTAAATTTCGAATAAGTTGTCATAAGTTACAGATTGAATACGGTCGATATCACAACATCCCCCGTGAACAACGCTTATGTAATCTCTGTGATACAAACGAAATTGAAGATGAATATCACTTTGCACTATCTTGTAACTACTACAGAGAAGACAGAAACACCACAAACAATATATTACAAAGACAATGCAACGAAACACTCGATTGCCAAAAAAAAAGATAACCTCGTGAATATAATAAAATCTAATGATCCAAAAGTACTGAATGTTTTTTCAAAATATATTACAGTTAGTTTTGAAAAACGGAATCAGTACTTTGAAGCCAGAAATACAAATAATACCTAAAACAAATTGTATTAAAAAAAATTAAAAAATCCTTAACCGATATAGACACTACATATTAAATTAAAAGCCTGAAATAGTAAACTTGTAATCTTAAATATTCTCATAGTGATCACCAATATGTAAATAATATAAAGTTAAAAAATATGTTATTATTAGTTAGTTATGAACGTTAATAGTTATATTGATGGAACTACAGTACTTTAGCAATATCTTGTAATTATAGATCATGCTAATAAAGTCATTACAATTGAAAAAAAATTAATGCAGAAGGTTGACTCAACCACAAAAGTGTAACTGCTCCAACGCCATAATTCACAATAATACTTAATCTCATTTTTCGTCGCCACTTTCCTATCCATTCAGAACCTCTGCCATTTTGAATATTTTCAGGGGGTGAATGTCTCTCATTGGCTAGGGACGACAGTGTTGCAACGGGTATGGTAAAGAAGTCGACCTTCTGTATGCCTCTATTCTGTGCTGTTGACTTGCCTAATGCAAGTTTTGGTAGCAAAATAAAACACCCTGGAATAGTGTTAGGTTAGCGTGTGTCACAGACCTAATTGTTTTATTTGCTTTCTTGGATAAAAGTTAAAGGTGCAGTTTTTTGTTCAAGCTCATTCTTTTACTTCATATATGCATGCAGGTTGACAAATGCTTGTCCACAAGTTCTACAAAACTGTTATGGAGTGATTAGCAACACGCTTTGACAAAATTTATGAAGTCAACTGAATTGCGTTTTATTCACTTTCACTTATTTTTTACTTTGTGCATGAAATCCTATACCGAAATCCTATACTTGTATTGTTTGTTTATCCTATACCATTGTTTTATCATCTGAACTTACTTCGTATGTTCTACCAGTGATATAATTTGTGCAGCTCCGTTTTGTAATTTTTGCTGCCGAGCCTCAGCGAGGCAGCACACGATTCTCGACAATACCAGTCTCCGTGCGCCGAGTTTAGTAGACCAGCTTGAATCTCGATTTTTTGTGTTTGTATGTCAGCAATTCAGGGGGGGTTACGAAAATTAATTATGCTTGCCGGGCGCACAGGAAGCAGTGCCAGGATGATGCCCATGTGTTTCTTTCTTATACTTTTAAAAAAATACACAACCTGACGCTGAAGCAATATCTATTATTTTTATCCGAGGGAACATTAATCAAGGCAATGACTGTTTTGATGTTAAGTCTAGAGGTAAAGCGGTGTACGTGCCTTTAATAGTTTACTGGGGCTATTTAACAGCCTATAAAAACCTTTTAGGCCTCGCTTGTTTCTATAAATGCGTTCGGCACATGAGAAGCGCGACGTTTGAAACAGGCCTTTATAGTTAACTCAATGGTCACCAACGACATTAAAATATAGTATTTTATTATAAGGCGACAAAATGTATTAATAATATAAAAGCATTGAATAATCGGGCTTCTCATTTGATTCATTTGCCACCGGATTTTTCGTGTATTTGTCCGTGAGAGACCTACCAAAACTTTAAATTAAAACTTGTTATTGTATCGTGTTTGGAGAATGAGTTCACTGTTCACTTTCGATACTTGTTGTCGATCTGAGCAAAATATTGATTTGCCTGCCGA